TAATTGGCTCAGATGACACAACAAAACTTGAAAATGTTATGTAATGAAAATATGTCAAGTCGTGTTTTGTATTATCTGAGATATGTCGAGACACGTTTTGACGTCTCAAACCTACTCTGACGCGATGTGCATGTCATCCTGCTGATTTAGTTTTGAGCTCATTTGCTCAGTGTAGGTAGAATAAAGGTTAATTTCTTTTTGTTTAATCCGTTTGTGGAAGCACTGTGTTCACGTCTCCGTGTGTCCTGCAGCCCACCTCCAGAAGCTGATGTCTGATAAGAAGTGCACGGCAGAGAAGAAGGCTGAGATGGAGGAAGTCACCACTCAGGTCAGTGTTAACTGAGACAAAATGCTCTTTTTGAGGGATTCTTTTTGGAAAAGCTGTTCCCGACGGGTTTTTAAATCTGTTTCTATTGTTATTTTCAGATGGACAACTACACCCAGCAGGAGCTGACCGATCTCTTCGTGAAATACAACGTCAAGTCTCCCACCACAGGAAACGACCTCACGCCTCCCGTCTCCTTCAACCTGATGTTTCAGACGTCCATTGGACCGGGGGGGAACACGCCGGGGTAAAACGAAACACAAAATACTGCGGGAAGTTTTTCCTTGATGTCGTATTTGTGTCATTGTGATTTATTTCAATGTAACTTTGCAGCTATCTGAGGCCTGAAACTGCTCAGGGAATCTTCCTCAACTTCAAACGTCTGCTAGAGTTTAACCAGGGAAAGCTGCCCTTTGCTGCCGCTCAAATAGGAAACTCCTTCAGGAACGAGATCTCTCCTCGCTCTGGACTCATTCGTGTCAGGTGAGAGATCCGCCCGGTCACCTCATCGTTCTGTCTGTACTTGTAGAGATCTCTCGTGACATAAAACGGGAATGAAATTGCCTCACATTTCCACGCAGAGAGTTCACCATGGCGGAAATCGAGCACTTTGTGGATCCAAATGAGAAGGTCCACACGAAGTTCTCCAATGTAGCCGACCTGGACCTCACATTATACTCCTCCAAGGCTCAGACTAGTGGCCAGTCTGCACACATCATGAGGCTGGGTGACGCTGTGGAGCAGGTTGGAATAACCAAAGAACAACACTATGATGCATTATTAGGGAGTGCTTTTTTATAGGGCTGTGCCAAATAGTTTTCGTCAAACTGCTGTTTCAAAAGAACAAAAATAAAACTTTCCCACTCGCATTCATTCTTCTCTCATTTAAGGGAGTGATCAATAACTCCGTCCTTGGGTATTTCATCGGGAGGATCTACCTCTACCTCACTAGAGTTGGTGTCGCCAAAGACAAGCTGCGTTTCCGACAGCACATGGACAACGAGATGGCTCACTACGCCTGTGACTGCTGGGACGCTGAAACCAAAACCTCATACGTACGTTCCACTGCACTGTTTCCTTGCGGCTCATCGGGGAGTCCGCACAGTTTTTGCTCAAAGGAAATGTTTGTCCCTTGCAGGGCTGGATCGAAATCGTGGGGTGTGCTGACCGGTCCTGCTTCGATCTGCTGTGCCATGCGCGAGCTACAAAAGTGCCTTTGGTCGCTGAAAAGCCTCTAAAAGAACCCATATCCTAAAACTGCAGCAGCACTTACAAGAAAATCTCTGTTCCATCAAACAACAAAGAACATTTTAAGCACCCAGATGCCTTGTTGTTGTCCTTAACTTCTCCACACAAAGTTGTAAATGTCGTCCAGTTCGAACCCAACAAAGGAGCCATTGGAAAGGCGTATAAGAAGGATGCTAAGATAGCCATGGAGTACCTGTCTGTGTGTGACGAGTGCTTCATTACAGAGCAGGAGCAGCTGCTCAATGAGACTGGGTGAGTGCTCTATAGTACGTATGGTGGCCTGATGAAAGCTCGTGGTTTTGTCGTTCGCAGCACAGTCAGCGTGTTCTCTTTTACTCCACAGAGAGTTCACCATCGAGTCAGAAGGCAAGACCTTCAAACTCACAAAGGATATGGTCGGTGTGAAGCGGTTCCAGAAGACTCTGCACGGTGAGATTTATTCATTTTAATGTTTTAGCTTAATGTTGAGTTTCTCGTGTTTTCTCTTTTAACACCCCGGGACCAAGTTTTAAATACAGGATTATGTCGGGGATACGTTGGCGCTACGGCTTCAGTAACATCCGTCTTTGTCGTCCACAGTGGAGGAAGTTGTTCCCAATGTAATCGAGCCCTCCTTTGGCATCGGTAGGATCATGTACTCCATCTTTGAGCACACATTCCACGTCAGAGAAGGTGACGAACAAAGAACGGTAAGTCGATAGTGATTATGGTAGAGTGTTGTCCTGAATCCTCACTATTTAGTTAACACTTATTTAATTAGCACTTTATTTGAATGTGGATCTCCAATCAGTGTTGATGGTAAGTGTAGCCGACTGAACAATGAATTCCTCAGTGTGTGCTGTATTGACCAGTAAGGCTGCAGCTGCAAAATCTGCATAACTGTATGAATGTACTGTATGTAACTCTGTGTGGTATTGCTGTAGTGTTTTAGAAGGAGAAACCCGTGTCTCAATGAGATTACCTGTGTAAATAGAAAACATTTACCGTCAACATTGGACAATGAGCTGCCTCATTGTGAAAGCCCTACCTAGCTGCCAAAAATGATTGTTTCATGATTTGATAATTGTTTTTGTGATTGAGTTTAAAAGCTTGTTTCCTTCATTTACTGAAATCTTTGTTTCCCTTCTCTTCAGTACTTCAGCTTCCCAGCTACTGTAGCTCCATACAAATGTTCCGTCCTGCCTCTGAGTCAAAACCCGGAGTTCATGCCCTTCGTGAGGGAGTTATGTAAGTGCCCACATAATGATAAAGTATATGTTCTATTTCTGTCTGTAAGGGAGAAGCTGCATGTGCTGCTGCTGCTGCTGCTGCCGTCTTAACTTATTAACTCAACTTGTCAACTACTATGTTTCTCTCTTTCTCCCTCTTAGCTGAGGCGATGACCAAGAACGGCGTGTCTCACAAGGTGGACGACTCCGCGGGATCCATCGGCCGGCGTTACGCCAGGACGGACGAGATCGGAGTGGCGTTTGGCATCACCATCGACTTCGACACGGTGAACAAGACGCCTCACACGGCCACGCTGAGAGACCGCGACTCCATGAGGCAGATCAGGGCCGAGGTACAGCACAAGTTCACTTGTTTCATCCTTATAATACCGTGATGTAAGAAAATACTGTGATTTATATTTGAGGTCATATTGCCTAACTCAAATCAATACAGCTGTCTACACAGGCCATAAAACTAACTTGACTCTGATTCTAAAAGAGAGAACAATAGCAGCATTGAGCTGTAATTACACACACAATTTAACACAATAAAAAAAAAAAAACATCTTTCTCTCCTCAGGTCAGTGAGTTGCCTGTGATTGTTCGGGATTTGGCCAACGCCACATTGACCTGGGCGGAAGTGGAGAGCAAGTACCCCATCTTTGAAGGACAGGAGACCAGCAAGAAGGAAACTGCTGAAGAGTAAAGCTCACTCGCCTGCCAGTCGCTCCACGAAAAACTCCACAGACTTGTTGCATATGCATCACCAGGAAGAATAATGCAACTGTATTGTGATAAGCTATAGTGGTGCACCGAGCTCTCCTCATGTTCTATGCCACTGCAATCACTACAATGTCATGTATCCATCATATCTACCAGTTGTGGAATGCTTACACAGGACGGGTTCTCTACGATGAGCAACATTTCATCCATGTATGAACAGGTCAATATGTTTTTAAAAGGGAGGAAAATGTAATCAGGTTGTTGTTGTCCAGGGGAAGGAGGCTTCCACCATTCCAGGTTTCTGGCAGATAGGATTGAGATGTTTAACAATTTCAATTAAAACAACCAGCACTTACTGGACACGAGCTTACAACTGTAATGTTTTCTGTTCATTTTACGACTCTGCTACATAGAGCAAGCTTTGAAACATCATGAATTGCAACTTCAACAGATCATTTGTTCCTCCAGAGTCTTGGTGAAACTAGAGCAGGAAAGCAGACTTAATACAAACCTCACGTATAGCCTCGGATACCGTTGAATCCCCACAAATGATCTATCCTGTGATATCTGCTCTGCCCGACTCCTTTACCAGAACTGCCTCTTTGTAAAGACGAGGAGTCCCACGAGATAAATCCCAGACACTTCGCATATCCCCAGGGCTCAAATATCATCTCAGCCTTATTAAGACCCGTCCGGATTTTACAGAGGAATGACAAAGACCTTTTACTGTTTCAATCTTTTTTTTAATACCCTTCATTGATGGAAAGATTTCCTGACATTTGATGATTGCTGGTTTCTCAAGGTCTTTAAAATCAGTTATTCAAAGTCAGTTTCTGTGCTGCTTGTAAACGACACTCGCTCTGTGTTACATTTCATGGATCCAACAGGCTTTTTTTTTTTCATAGCAAACATTTTGACCGGTCAGTGTAGGAAAAGCACAAGTGTTACTAATAACATTAACAATGATTCAAGTGTCCCAGTGAGCCAGCATGCACAATAACAGGACCCTGAAACTGAAGCAGCTGGAGTTCAGCCATCATTAACTGTATTGTTCACACCGGGGTCTTTCCTACTGTAACCTGTACTAAATGTCCTAAATCTGGTTACACACATGTTCAGAGCTACTGCAGTAAAGGTGACTGGATTCAGAAATGCATAAAAAAAATAATTAGAACAATGAAACTGAAAATAAATGGAATGGAAAAGGTGAAATCAGTAGCAGCAGAAGAAGCAGCAATTGAATATTAATTAAACAGCGAGTCCTCTTCTCCTAACATAGAATTCCTGTAAGAAGACGTTTCCAGCATTATCATGATGACTAGATGTCCATTTTTAATATGTCTTATGATTATCAATGCATATTTTGAGGTAGGGATTAACTACTGACTTAAATTCACAGGGCATATGTTACATAATCTTTCTAAATGTGTCCACATGTTTGAAAAGAGCTTCTTGCCAGTTCATTTGTTCCACAAGGTGGCATCAGAGGCAAGCTTATGATTTTTTGTTGTCATTCAAATCCTACAGCGCCCGAATAATCCTGTTACGTTCATTTAATTGACCATTTTGCACATAATTAAAATTTTTTGAACACATTTTGACAATTAAATAATAATTGGGCATACTGTTTTAATCTGCAAAACATCTGGATTCTGCTAGGAGGTATTTGTACCATCTAGATATTAGCCTATTGAGGAGGAAAACTAAGTACCTCTATGCATATTTCTTGTTTTTTTAATTTTATGATCTTTTATTGTGTCTTTTAATTTGTGTCCAAGCCTTTTGAAACTGAGATTCCAGGTACTAAACTGGTGTAATCATGTTACATTCTGTTTTGAAAATAGTCTATAATATCAAGGAATGTCAAGGACACATTGCTTCACATCATAAGTGATCATGGACGCATTCTGAGACATGGGACTCTGGGCACAGACCTGCAAAAGGCCCCATCACCTCTCATAGGAGCAAGACACACAGACTTTACTCAGTTTTGTGTCTCTTTGTGGTCATTTTGAATCTCTACCTGATTTGTACGTGTCTCTTTGAGTTACATTTTGTAGGTGAAGGCAAGCGTGGCCCTTTGACCTGTGCCTGGTTGGCCCCGTTCAATAATTCATTAATTTACAACATATACCATGTCATTGTTTATGTGGGGTGGACCTTGAAGGCTCAACATCTTTAGGGAAACCACATGAAAAAGGCTTGTGCAGAAAGAGGATTTTGAGATTCCAATTCCTTCCTGAACTACACCCACGTTCATAAAACATTCAAGGACTTCGCAGTATGACAGCACACCAGATGTAAGCTACTTGAAGGCGGTGAGAAAGATCATCTGTGTCCTATCAAAGTTTATATCAAGCCAATATTAATTTGAATTATTCATCAACCGAAATATGTTGCCTGAGGGAAAGAGAAACGTCAGAGGCCAGCAATGTTTGATGTCATTGATCAAGACGTGAATGCTCCAGTGTTAGGCCTCATGTCTTAAGGTAGTATCGGTTCATTATAGGCAGCGTTTACGTCATCTCTTTGACGCTCCCGCCCTGTACCAACAAGAGGGTGAGGAAGTGTTTGTGCCCTGCAGCTGGGTTTTTTCAAAGAGCGATTATCTACTATGTCCCCAGCAAGCTCTTAAGTGCTGCGCTCATGTCATTCAGGACTGACTGTTGGTGCCTCGTACTTCATGTTTTCATTCAACTGAATGTTTTTTTAATACATAACCAAACTTGATATTACATTGCAAATAAAAGATAAACCAACTGAGAGAGTGAACAACGTCATCTAATACTTGTGAACCAGAGAAGTACCCACAGATTCAAGCCATTGTTGTAAAACTTTCTAATATGTAATGCTTTGTGAATAGTTTATACGTTGTAACTAATTACTATATTAATGCATTTACCAGTGCTTTATAGATACACCCTCAATTAATGGGTTGCCAGGTTGTATACATCTTCTGTAGCAGGTGTTAATCACCTTGCAGGACAGTAATTGATTTTCTACCAATAGGCGGCAGTGAAATTAGGCTGTGAACACAAAACTGACGTATCCCCTTTTACGTTGATAATGCAAACTTAGCCAACTGTTGCCTACATACACATCTAACAGACATAAAGCAACATTAGCATTATTTGGAGTAGTATTTCTGGCCACATGATGAATGTAGTGCAACAAGCAATATTCACTCTCTTTTACCTCCGTTTTGGTCTCCACCAACTCCTGAGGGAAATATCGCCAACTTTGTGTGCTGGTAATTGCTTGGCAGGAAGTGTACAGTTGGTTTTTAGAAAATATATCAATGAATGAATGAATCTTTATCTTGTAATAAACAGGCTCTGATACGCAAATATTTGCTGTAAAACTCTGAATTTCTTTTCTCTCAATCTTATTCTTGTGTTTCTTTGAGGAATTATTCGTTCAGTCTGTTTCAAGTAGCCACTCTGTACTTACAAGCTCTGCATCATCACATTTCAAGTGGCAGACACAGTAACCTGACACCGATTGTCAAGTGCTGAGAAGTGATTGTGCAAAGTGGCTCAGAGACCCGTGTTGTGGTGTCAGTTGTAAGCATACATTACTGTAAACATCAGGGCAGAGTCACCGACCCACATGAAGAGCATCATGTCGGCTGGGATATTACGGGCTAATTATGAGCGGCATCAACAGATGACAGCCTGCACTTACTGCTGTTTTCCTCCTGTCCATCTGCCATCATGCTGTGCACTTGTCTCAGGTGGGGTCATTTAGGGCCGCGTGGGCCTCGGCTCCATTAAAGTGACAGCGAAGGTGAAGAGGGACGGACACTCAGACGGCGTCACTGCTGGCAACGAACCAGAAAACCACTTTATCTCCCTTGTTGTTATTCTACGGTCCACCGAGACTGAAATAGCTTGAATAATGTCTGTTTGTCAGTGCGTGTGGAGGGTCTAGGTCTGCCGTGCACAGGTGGATATCAGTTCAAGAGATGGGGAACAGGCTGCATGATGTAAACAATAGATTAAAAGGGCAATTGACCGATTTTACACTGATTGTATGAAGCATTCAGTGGCTCTGGAGGAGAAAATAACCCTGATGATGTCTAGTTATGTCGTCAGGGTTATCTCAGCATGGGCTTTGAGAGTATTTATATTTAACCAAATCCTGTGTCATGGAGTTCGAAAGAAATGGTAATTTATCAGTAAAGCTCTGACGAAAAGAAAGATGCTCTTGAATTGCATTATGTGAAATGTAGGCTATCAATAGTGTCTAAATGTATTCTGTTAAGCAATTTTGGAGTTTGATCCATATTTACAATCAGAGGATAGCTCTGCTCCACAGATTTCATTAATAGTACTAAGTAATTAAAATCAAGCTGCATATATTGTAAAAATAGGCGGTGGACATGAGGAAATCTGTGTCTGTCTCTTTCAAAATGACTGACAGAGAGCCCCCCCCCCCTGATAGTTTGTGAAACCTTGACTAAGGACCCACTGCAAACATTTAATCAATCGTTTCTATTGTATCTATTAAAAGTGCATAGGCTTTAATTGGGTGCTTTCGACCATGGGTCCCCACTAATAAAAACAAAAACAATGATACAAAGTGATTACGAATACATTGATTGACAAAGTCATGGAAAATTGGAATGATAAATAAATGTGAGATATGACAAGGCTATACCTCTGTGGTCTGCGGGGACTTCAGTTGGAAGGAGAACTGAAAAGACAGCGCTTGTATCATATTGAAAGACAAACATCAGCAAAAGAGAACCTGGCAACCCCAAAGTTATTCATATTAATTAGTAAATTATTTGTGAATTAAGTCATTAGTTACAACTTGGGTGTCTTATTAAAAAGTGATAGCTTATTGTGTGAGTCTTCGGACATTATGGAAATACAATTCAAATCCACTGGAGTAGCTCCGTAAATTCAACAATTGAATCTAATAAAACACAATAGAGATATATTTTACATACTCACAATATCATTAAAGATAATGTTTCATCCATAGAAACTGAGCCGTCATGTGCTTGTAGATCACAATTCTTTAAGTGGCCCTAAAAATGTTTCATTAAAATACTGCTGGTATTTTGGGGAAGGCTTTAAAACAACATTAAGTCAATCATACAGGGAGATGAAATTTAGCAGAAGACATTTTAGCAGTTAAGTGAGTATAGAAAATGTAAAAAAAGAAGAAGAAAAAATAAAAAAATGAACTCTTGACCTCAGTATTTCTAAAACCCTGGTTGCTAGAAAACGTATTTCCAGTTCCAAATATTAACAAACAATTGAAATGTTTAGAAGCATCTTTAAACATATTATCTTGTAAAATCAGTTCCTGTAAATCTGCCCTGAGCCTATAAGCTTGTGAACACCAACAAACTGAGTGGTGGGCGGACTGAGAGCGGGTTTTTTCCCCAGTCCGGACTGAGCAAGGATGATAAAAAACACTGAAGGCGTGTTGTTGTAGTGAGCTTGCATGGCACTGTGGCAGGAGGACGGTCGCCATCTCTGGGTAAACACCGTAACCGTGTCACGCAGTTGATATTATAGTGTGTGGATAGAAGCCGGAGCGTACAGTAGCAGCAGCAGCAGCAGCAGGCGGGGTGCTATGCTGCCTGCAACAGCGGACACACACGACTTCAATGAAGGACTGACGCTTTGTTTGTCCCCTGCACGTCGGACTGTCACCTCGGAGGTTCGGACGCTTCTTCTCACTGACATTTCGTCTTGTTCGTGAGCTCCGGGGTGGGGGTTGGGGGGGGGTGGGGGGAGAAATGGGACTGCATGCTTCGAATGAAATGGGATTTTAATGCTGCAAACAGCGGACGCTTTAGCCCGCGCACGCAGCCAGGGGACTGTAGTGCGCTCAATAATGTTTGCCAAGGAATAAAACGGTGCGGCCCAAGGTGCATAACATCTCGTTTCCATGGACAACACGTCCATAATAACACAGGTTGCAAATCCGAAAGAGGAGGAGAGCATTTCTTCAAGTCCAGATAAAGGTAAGACGCACAGAAAATGCCACGGGCGCGCACGCAAACACACACACACACACGGTTTTAATTTGGATTTCCAGCTGTAGCATATATTCACGTTGCCAAATCTGATCTGCAGCCCTCGGTGCAGAGAGGATACTGGGTTCAATAGCAAGACAAGAGTGTCGACGGAGAACCTCCATTGTTCAGCTGGAGCAGAGACGCATGAAGAGCCCAGCTGTCCACATCGGCTGTATAGATGCCATGTTTGGAGCGCACTGTAACTTTAGTGCGCTTCATTTGAGCTAAACCAAAGCTCATTTAAAATGTTAAACATGGTGCGACTTAGAACGTGATAATATATATATATATATGCGTTTGGAGTGAGCTGGGTTTTACTACAGGGGGCGGGTACTCTGCTCCTTTGCACTGGCGACATCCCAGTATGCATCGCTGGCTCTGTAAAATGCCTGGTATACTACCAATAACACCAGTGATCAGAGGTCAACAGTTTGGCTTCATGGTGCATGAAGAATAAACGCCAATTTAAGTATTTAAGCAGGAAGATATTTGATTGTGCACATGGGAAGTCTTTTTTTTTTTGGGTCCAAAAGCCAGTAATCACATTGGATACACAAATATATTTAGCTTTCTGTATTTTTCTATCTATCTTAGAATAAAACCACCTCACTGAAGCGATGAGAATGTTGAAAGATTGAGCCTCTCCAAAATGATCCGTATCATCAGCTCCCCTGTACAGCACTTAGTGATAATAAAACCAATAATTGTCAAATAATTGACCGACGACGTATAACAAAGGTCAGAAATGTCCACTTCCAGATGTGTAAAAAGAAAAGAAAAAAAGTGCCTGAAAAAAACAGCTGCTCCACAGTTTACAGCGGCTGAACGAAAACACATTTTCTCTCTGTTGTTTTGCACAAGAGTCGCCACTTCACCATGTGGTGATGCCATCAATGACAAATCCCCCTCATGAGTCAGGAGCTTTCCAGTTTTCATTAAATTTGAGAGGGGGGGGGGGGTTCTCTAGTCTGTGCAGGACAGTCACACATTTTTGATTTGAGTCCAGCACACAAGAAAATCTGTCTTTGGGGTTCTGTGTAACCACACGTGGGATACACATGGGTCCACGGGAGACTGTAGCAGGAGGGCATGGTTGATCGGAGCTCAGGGCCCTGACATTCCTCCACCAGCATCCATCCCACTGAGCCACAGGGTGCCTGGAGGCCAGAGGGACCACAACTTCCTGCTACACCCAGTGCTCTGTTGAGGAAAAGGTCACTTCCCCTGCATCACCTCTGCTGAGCAACACTGACATACACGAACCACTCTGACTCGTTGACTTCCTGGCCGGAGGTCATGAAATGAAGATCTAGACACAAATAGGATTCTAGATCAGAAGTGAGGCTGAGCCGTAACCTTAACACCTCATCTTCTTTACTCTAGGACGGACCTGCGTGATCACGGCAGCCAGATCAATTCTGATTTATGTACCACAGCACGTTTCCGATATTTCCTTTTCCTCTTCAGCTTCCTCTAATCTTGTGGTGCCGCCTCAATAATTAAAACCTTCATAAACAAATCAATGACAACAATCACTAACAGCAAACACACGGCTTCGCTGCCGACTGAAGTGATGAATCATCATCCAGGAAATTTGTTAGAAGACAAATAAAACTGCTGCTTTTAGCACATTTTTAATCGCTCGCATAGAGTTCCCAGACTTTCTTGTCTGCAACATCCTGCTTGTCACGAACAGTAAATCCCAGACGACATGTGGAATCCAACAATTAATCTGGCGGGATAAAATCCTGGGTCAGCCGCTGACCAGAGAGGACACGACACACACACACACTCAAATGGCTGCTGTCACACACACACACACGCACACACACACACACACGCACACACACACACACACACACAGTATCACCAGGAAGCTTCCTGAATGGAGTCCCTGCCGCTCACCACTGGCTCTGTCAAAGCAGACAACAAACAGTGCTTGTTGTCCAGGACAGTTACTCTGTGACCTGCTCAGGCTGCGCTGAAGCCACTAATGATTACACACGCACGCACGCACACACACACTCACACACACTCACTCACATGCTGAATATTTCAGAGCACAGGCAGGCTATTTTCAGAGTCCTATCGGTTTCATTCCAAGCAAAGACGTAGTAATTCATTAGAGCCAAGTTCTTTTAGACGTTTGGTCAGGTGGAGAATATATCTTTATGCATTATGGATTATGTTAAATGAGGTGAGGGTTGGAATCATAATGTGAGTGTGGGTGGTGTCATACTGTTGGTGGATACAAGGCTATTTGTTGGAGGTGAACTTTATCAGATAGATGATTGTGGACATATTCAGACGATTTCTTGTAGTTTTATTCTTTGATAAATCAGCAATGTCGTACTACTTTAAGGATATTTCACAGGAACCAGCACATAAGCCCAGAGGAGGCTGAGAAAACCCAAATGAGGCTTTTCATTTGGCAGACCTTTTACTTTTCAGGATCTGATGCAATGCGATGCAACGACTGGACTAACAACGCACAGGGAGTCACAGCCTTTGTCTCACTCTGCACATCTTTGAGGCTTTGGTCTGATAACTTCTCAGTCCGACGGGTATCGATGGTCGAGCTGTTTAACCTAATCAGATTAGGTCAAATCTGAGTTTAGCTCTTCACTGCTGTACTGTGAGTGATGGCAGACGCTTAGACTAAAACGGATTGTGAAAGATGTGTTTAGGTGCTCCTGGTTGACGCCTAATTTGTTTTTTTGCAAATATTGGCTAATCATACACTACCCCTCCCACACAAATTGTTAATAGACAGCTGATAGCAATGGCATACATTGTCTTTGTTATTCCAACTAAATTCGGACCGCAACATATTACTGAAAACACAAAGTTTAGTAAAAAATAAAAGATGAACCTCTTCACTAGATCAGAATTCTTCATCCAGAAAGTCAATAAAGCATACGTTTAGTGATGATGTTCTTTATTTTTTGTAGTCGTATAGGGCGTGTTAATCAGTCCCTCAATACTTTATTGTTTACCTGTCTCTGGCTCTTCCAACCTCGAGCCCATTTGTTACTACTGAAGACTTATATCTTTAAAAACGGCTCACAAACATACATTTCAATTTATTTTGAAATCCTAAAAAGCTCTGGCACTGTGCATTTTACTACTCGGGTAAGAGTAAATAGCCGGGGACTATTTTCAGTTGGAATGTTCTTGGTAATGATAAAATCTGTCCAAAGAACAATAGAGCTCTATGGCACATAACAAGCTATATGCAGTCTTTGGGTGCAGAGACGACTCTTGTTAGTTTGTCATTGGTTTTGATCTTTTCATGGTCTTTGTTCCTGATAAGAAAACATATTATCATCATTCCTATTCTTTAAGTTTGCTCTAGTGTTGCACAGCTATGTGTTTGTCAGTTTTGCCTCCTTCACACGGCTTAATGGTTCTCCCGGAGTTCTTGTAAAATCTGTTTTTTAAATTTTTGTAATCACTTAGTACTGGGGGGAAAAACCAACAAACACAAACTATAATTGTTTTGATTGCATGGATGGTTTTTCTGGCTGAGGCTGAGTAATATGAGTTGTCCTGAAGAGACATAATTGGCCATTCCCCCATGTCATTACTCCAATGGCAGCTCAAGGCTGCAGCAAGACGGTGTCACAGAGCTCATTAACGTTGTTTTTAAAAACGGGTCAAGGTACTCTGTCTGGCTTATGTGAATGTCTTTAAAGGTGATGAGATCTATAAATTCAGAACGAGCATCGACGAGGAGGAGCAGCAGGCACCGGGATTTATGTATGGCATGTTAAAATGATTTCCCCCAAAGGCTTGTTGGTTAGAAAATCTTTGCATTGCCAGAAAGAAAATTATATAAAAAAAAAAAATACTGAAGCTGTAATTGTATATATTAATCTGGAGAAAAGCCTGTGATTTCATGCGCGCTTGGCATTTGAGGTTGTTTCTGGAACACGCCGCTGTACATTAATAAAGTGTTTATGATGTGGGGACCACACCTGCAGGGGTGTGTGCAGCACAGTTTGGGAGCTACTGTGAGTTTTGGCTTCCCCAGTGTCCCTGGCACAACCGGCCACTCTGCTGTGTACAGCACTCTGCTGTCATGACCGGACTCTGCAGAGGAGGATTACGCTCTTTAACTCGGCCATAGGTGGCGTAGATTTCTTGGATATGTTTTGAGCACACAGTGTGTCGTTCACAAGCCTTCCACCTCTCTTAAGAAGCACATTGGATTGCTATGTGCGTACAGTGAAGTCAAGATTCAAGCACCATTTTGACTGAGAGAAAGAGGGAGACTCTGAAGTGCAGGTCCCCTATTACAGATTTATGAGTCTATTTCAACCGATGCTGCTCAGAAAAGCTGATTATCTGCACCTCCAGGGAAGTGTTGGACACATCTTTATTACTTTAGTCCAATACCATACTGGGCAGCTGATTGGGAAGAGTTGAATGTTCTTCTTCCATGCCTAAGCCCCTTGACTGGTAAGCTTGTTAACTGTGCGGGACCGGCCTCAGTGTGTGGATGAACATGCCTGAAGTGGAAGTTGTGGGATTGTCTTAATTTATGTCTTTTGCATTCATTCAGTCCCACAACGAGCGGCAATGAAATATTTTTACAGCTGTAAGTAGCAAATAAACTTATTATTGTAGTAAGTTTTGTTGCTCCGCACAGAGCTTGCTTGTCATTGTAATTAACCGCAATGGACTCGCCAACACTTGAATTTGACATTATGTTTGAGCTCATACATCAATCATCATTAGTGGCTCCCTTAGGTGGTTGTTGATGTATCAGTCTCTTATTTTAAGTTGGAAACAAAAAATCATAGTTTATGTTCACATCTCCCTGCTGCTGTCATTGTGTCAGTATTTCTTTTTTTTTTTTAAAGTACTGTCAAGAGAAAAATCCATAATGATGAATTTATACACTTAAAGTAATTGCTTAGCATTTTTAAAAACAGCTGTTTTTT